CCCTCAGTCTCTGCGTTAGAGATGCAGTTGATGCCGGTGACTTCCAGGCCGAGGGCATCAAACCAGTCTAGCCCTAGGAGGCTTGGCCGCTGACCTTCGACCACCAACCGGAGCAGGCCCGAAAAATCCTTGAAGGCTGGTTGCCTCCACAGCCAGCACATTCCGGTTGGCCCTTGGACTTCTGTTGGAACTTCCTGCGCTCCCGCTTTGTCTGGTGCACGTCATCGTCTTCACTGGAGGATGCCTCCTCACTGCTGGCCTCTTCATGATGCACCAGAACTGGCTCCCTAGCAAGACGCGGGCTGCTGGACTTGCGGATCTCCTGGGCGGAGCGTTCAGCAGCTTCTGAGGCCACAGCCTCCTCAATGGCTTTCTGTAGCGTGAGGTCTGGCTTGGCTAGGAGGCGCCGTTGCAGATGGATGTCCCGGACCCCGCAGACGATTCGATCCATCAGGGCATCGTCTAAGTCTCGGAACTCACAGTGCATTGCAGCCTGTCGCAGGGCGGTGGTGTAGTTGTTGATTGACTCCCCCTCTGCCTGGTTCCGGTGGAAGAACGCATGGCGGGCAGCAATCTTGGACGGCTTTGGTGCGTAGTGGTTGCGGAGCTTCTCTTGGATCGTGTCCCATGGTGTTGCCTGGACTGCTTCAGGCGCAACCAACGCTCGGGCCGTCTCAAACACCTCAGGCCCACAGAGGCTGAGGAATAGGCCCCGCTTCCGATCCTTTGATACTGCTGTCAGCTCGTTGGCTTGGAGGTAGCAGTCGAACCGAGCGAGGTAGGAGTCCCATGATTCAGAGGCTGGCGCAAACGGCGGTAGAGGCACAAGTGAAGCCATGATTCCGATGCCGGCGTGAAGGGCGATGGATGGAACACAGTGCTCTAGCCAGAACAGTCAGCTCTGAATTGGTTCTGCCCAGTGATTTCGCTCAGTGATTTCGCTCTGTGATTCAGCTCAGTGATTCAGCTCAGTTCAGAGGCTGGCCGCATCTGGCTGTGCTCTGATGTCCACCCATCCCATCCTCGTCGCCAGAGTTAAGTCGTGGGTTGACATAGCAGCCGGCACAGCGATTTCTTCAAGTAGCTCTTTATTCTGGTAAGCTGGAATAGAACTGACTGCGAACAGCTCAGCCGGCCTGTATTTATAGGCAGCCGGCTGTCAACATTGTAACCACAACAGCCCAGAGTTCCCGCCTAAAATAACTGCCGCGGACCTGAGTGAAAACTATCTACAGACCTGAGTGAAAACTATATACAGTATCCCCCTGTTGGCCCAGGGTGAAACTACACTACATAACAGAAGCCATGTGAGTCCTGCTCTCCAGAGCAGGGGAAAACAAGCCTGTTCCTGTAGTGATCAGGTGGGATTGCTTAGAGCAGGGGTCTGCAACCCGTGGCTCCGGAGCCGCATGTGGCTCTTTTGCACCTTTGCCGCGGCTCCGGGGAGGATTCTAGCGAGGGGAGGAGGCGCATTGTGCGCCCCGACACTCCCCACTGTGGCGGGCGCTGTACTGGCTGTGACGTCGCATGGGGGCGGTGCATGCGTTAGTCACGCACCATCCCGACGTCACCTTCCCGCCCGCCACATTGTAAGGGGCATGTACGCTGGTCACTGCATTGAAAGGGGGCATGTACGCTGGTCACTGTTTTGAAGGGGAGTGAAGAACACACACACACACAGGTAACTTGTTAATTTAACGTTTATTTCTATGAGGAGGAGTAATTCTGTGGTTTTTTTTATAAATTTTTATTGGATTTTCACATTTTATAAAGACATCACACACACAAAAGAGACAAAGACAAAAACATGTATAATTTCAGATCCTTACTTTCTTAACCTTGTTCCCTGACTTCCCCCCACCCCCCCTTCATACATCCCAATTTTTATAATTCAGTCAGCAAGTTCTTATCTCTCTTCCTTACCATATTAATATTATTTTTTAACTTAACTCTTCTTAGTTGGCCAAATTTCCTTATCCGCCTCTCTTATAACAATTAAATTCTTATATTAGATATAGATCATACTACCTAAACCCAAAAGTCATAAACATTTTTAAAATTCTTTTTTCCCCTCCCTCCCTTCCCCGGTTTCAATCCCTTCCCAAGTACATGTCCATCATAACAGTTCTTAGCCTGGATTCCTCACGTCCGAGGCTTTCAAGTCTCTTTCAGTCCCTCTCTGCCGGTTTTGTTGGTAGTCTTTTGTGTTGGTCATCGAATCTCGAAGGAGTTCTGTCACTATCAAACCAGATTTTCTTCCGAGGAGGAGTAATTCTGAGGGGTCAAACAAAGAAATAACAAAAAAGTGACAAAAAAGTTATTTTTATAATGACGAGTTTTGCGGCCCCCAGTTTTTTTTTCTTCGGAAACGGGTCCAAGTGGCTCTTTTTGTCTTAAAGGTTGCAGACCCCTGACTTAGAGGAATTATGAAAAATATGGAGCAAGCCATTTGTGTCAGCAATGAAAGCATTGTGTTGACTGGGTTTGATTCATTGACAGTAATTTCTGATCGAATCCCACCATCCTCTGCTCCTCTGCCATTTGCTATTTCTCTGCCTGACAGGCAGCTATCAGCATTCTGAACACAGGCCAGTTGTCCACCAGGCATCCCAGACCATAAGGATAGTAGGGAGCTTCTCTGATGTACCTTTCCTTGGTTTTATTAATCTTAGGGCCAGGAAATAGGTATCTTTATCACCTCCTATGTGAAACTTTCCTTGCCTTCCTTCCTCTCATGTTTACTGCTTGTTTATGACCTCCAGGTTTGCTGAATGCATCCCTCCTTTTACTCCTGTTTTATTTACCCCAGAATGTATGCATGCTCAAATTAGCTCTTTGTAGTTTTAACTTTGTCCCCACGTGGGGTTTTTTTTAAAATGCTGTCGCAGGAACCCCCCCCCCAATCATTCAGTTTGTACCAACTCCACACACACTCACACTCACACACTACGTACGCTACGCTTCTGTTATAAATTCATAGAAAATCAACCATACATCGGATTTGCACTGTTCCACTTTTATTTTACTCCATGAAGGAAGTACTACAAAATGGGGAAGGTTTGATACAGGGCAGCCATAATCCCTTCAGCATACCAGCACATCCACAGGAGCCCTGCCCAGTTGCTATGCCAACCCTGATGGTCCTAGACAGAAGACAATCAAGATCACAAAGAACTTGCATATGGGAGTGGATTCAGCATGGACTGAAACAAAGGACAATGATCAGATCTTCCCTCTGGGGGCAGGAAACTGCAAACTCCCCTTTGTCACCTGGAAGGTATTCATGGGGAGGGGGAAAGGGGGAACCAGCCAGGTGACAAGATACTCAGGTTACCACCACCACCCCTCCCTCAACCCCTCCTTTCTGTGATGTATGTATCTGAGGGGTGGTCTTAGGTTACACCCCTTCTGTGATGTATGTATGATGTTTCTGGGGGTGGGCTTGATCTACAGGGTGGGAATTTCAAAAGTCTTTATAAGACCTTGCACAGCATTTTTCTGTGTCCTTCCTCTCTCTTGCAAGTGAGGGGAGCACCCTGTTGCAACAGTATTCAATAAAGGCCAAGCCTACAGGCTGCTGTTTTGCTCCAAGTTATCCTGGTTGGTGTCTTTGTTTTTGTCCAAGGGAGCCCTCGGATTTTTCCAGTAACAAGTCCAACCCTGCTCCCCTCCCCAAACCAGGTGCACATGAACATAAGTTCAACCCCCTATACATAGACAGGTGAATTCACAACATTCTGCCAAAATATGGCGAGAAATCTCCATTTCCCTTGTAACCTGAAAACTGACCAATCAGGCGCCACTTCGTTTGACAGCCGCCCAATCAGAAACAGCGCTGGCAGCCCCTTAAACTTCAAATCCCCTTAATGGACAATGGCCTTCATAAGAAGAGCTGCGTAAATAGCAGGCAAACGCTGCAGCGCTCAGAAAAACCCTCTGCAAAGAGCAGGTCAACATCTCACCCATCAAACAGCAGGGCTTAAAACGGAACCATAAAATCATAGAATTGCAGAGCTGGAAGGGACCACGAGGGTCATCTAGTCCAGTGTTCTTCAACCTTGGCTTCCTAGAAGCAGTTGGACTACAACTCCCATCATCCCCAGCCAGCTTAGCCAATGGCTACAGGTGATGGGAGTTGTAGTCCAGAATCATCTGGGAGCCTAAGGTCGAAAAATGCTGATCTAGTCCAACCCGGTGCAACATGGGAATCTTTTGCTTTACAGAAAAGCTCAAGATACAGGTTGATCTACCCACACTTAGTTGTTATCTCTGAGAAACATAGAAAATAACAGGATATATTTACACGAATTCTTCAAACTTACACAACCCTTTAAAAATTAGCTGATGAAGATGAATACGTCGAAACAGGGCCCTGTCCAGGTCTCTGATCCATAATTGACTTCTGACTTCTGCTCAATGATTGAAACTAAGATCTTCACGTCGAATCTGACTATGGACTAACGTGAACTTTCTCTACTCATGAACTCTTATCTCTAATACTGTAACGAATTATTGTGTTATACATATCCTTATGAGTTTGAGTTTGTAATCTTTGTTTCAGTTTGTAATCTCTATTTGAGTTTGTAATCCTTGTCAGAATATTTACTATTGAATGGATTTAGTTTTTGTTACTATTGACTGTTGATTTGCGAGTAGGGACCCCTCCCACTACTAAAACTTATACTGGCTAGAGTTCTTGGTGTGCTTTTTTCTTGGTATATTTAATAACAAGAACTCCAACTTATTTAACGTCATTCTCTACAGACTGAGCTTTCCGAGGTTTGTGGAAATCATCAATTAAGTCAATAAAACCCTATTATATGAATGGAAAACAATGGAAAAACACTGTAAATATCCAAACAAACTGTTTTATTTTCTACAGGAGGGTAAAACAAGAAATACAAAAGCATAAATAAAGTGTTTCTGAGCCGCAGTGCTGGGCAGAGCAGGAGTGGCCATGATCCCAGAAGCAGAAAAGCACCTACTCGGACCTTTTCCTCTCAGCTGTCAATGGGCAACACCTGATAAAGGGAAAGACAGAAAATCATACTGTATACTCACAATATTGGCACAAGAGACTGGATGAGCAGAACTGAGCTGACATAACTGTAATGCCAAAAGGAACGTAAAATATTTGCTCCGAGAGGAAAAGGCAGACAATACACTGACACCTTGACTGACAGGTGACAGGTCATGGACTCAAAGGTCTGTCTGTCACTCCACCTGTTTTAAGGCGAAGAATAAGGTTTGAATGATGCTTCTCTGAAATGAATTGTGGAGGGGAAATGTAACTTCTAAAAGGAGTTGCATGCCTTTGTTTGGGGCTTACTCTTTCCTGGCTTAGAGGTTGAAATCTTATCGCAACAATAAAGACAAGGCTTAATAGCTGCTCCTTGCTTTCCTGTACCTGGGTGCGGTTTCTTGATTTATCCTGACTGGTGAAAGGACCTCGCGGGGCGCACTGCAACCAGGGGTACCCAGATTTCAAGTCACCTTGGCAATCAGAAAGGACAATCGGGCTGAACAGCCGCTTTTTGCTGGCATTTATTTCTCTGACCTGCACGAAGACCTCGGGGGATAACAGTACCCAGATTTCCACTCAAAACCAGGGTGCAAACTGGGGGTTGCCTCGGGGCATGCACAGAGTGCACACGATGGGTGGGCAAAGGGGAATGCTGAACCGCGGCCCCTCTCTCCCACCCCCCTTTGGCCTGAGACTCCTGGCACCCCCCCCCTGCCCTGCCTCCACCCGACCCAGGCATGTCCTGAGTTGCTCCTGCAGTCAGAGAAGGGTCCTCGAGCCCCTTGGGAAAACAGATCCCCAAGCCCAGCTTAAAGGTAAAGGGACCCCTGACCATTAGGTCCAGTCATGACAGACTCTGGGGTTGCAGCGCTCATCTCGCTTTACTGGCCGAGGGAGCCAGCGTACAGCTTCCGGGTCATGTGGCCAGCATGACTAAGCCGCTTCTGGCGAACCAGAGGAGCGCATGGAAACGCCATTTACCTTCCCACTGGAGTGGTACCTATTTATCTACTTGCACTTTGACGTGCTTTTGAACTGCTAGGTTGGCAGTAAGCCCAGCTTGCCCTCCCTCTTTTTCCTGGCCAAAGAGCAGGGCCCCTGTTAAGGAAAAATCTGGGTGCGAGGCTGCTCAGTCCCCCAGCTCATCGGGCAGAGCCCGCGGGTCCCTGCGGAATAAAGGAAGGAGTCCAGCCAATCAGAGCAAATAGCTGTAGACCAAAGTTTATTGCGCAGTAGGTTCAAATAGCAAATTTTGAACCCCAACTTTTAAAACTTTCCCACCATATCCCAGAATACAGTTCGTACAGCACCATTGCTACATCACTGACATGTCACAAAAGGGGAGGGGTTAACCTTGGCAAACATGCCAGGCAAGTCCTTGGTACAAGATTAGCATAAGCAGACATGGCGGGGCAAGACTCAGGTATAAGATTAGCATAGACAAATATGTCTTAAGTACCCACCACCCAAAAGTACAATAGATGTTCCTTTGCATGTCTGGAGCCTGAGGCGAGTCAGGTGATGAGATTTGGCTTCCTTTGGCTAACAATGAGCCCAGCAATTGTCAACTCTGAGAACTTCCTGGAGTCCTTTTTCAAGGGGAAAATGGCTTTGGAATGGAGGAAACTGGGAAAGGAGATGATTTTATATTATTTTAAAGCTAGGTAACTTCCCTGAGCTATCAAGTTGAAAGGATACATTCAGGCATAATATTTGTAATATTTAACTTTAAAGATGTGCCCCCCCGTAATTTCCGTAACAGCCCCCGTTTTCTGAGTAAGAGCTAGGCCTGCATGTCCAAATGATCTTTTCTCTTGCAGACAGGCAAGCTCCTAGCTGCTCACCCGGAGGGCATGTGGGCAGCCCCCTCAAGCCAGCGCCATGGATCCAGGGCCTGTCAGGAGATCGGCCTACACCCGAGTAAGACCCTGGTAGAGAAACATGCCCGACTGGCATGTTCTCTCCCTCCTGATCGATCGTCCGGGAGCTTCAAAAGCTTTCTTCAGCCCGGACTGATGCCAACCGACACCGGCACACTTAGGGATCCGCAGAGTATGCACATCATGCGTAACAGAACTCAGCATTTTGGCTAATCTACTTTATTTACATATAAACACACACGGAGCACTGCAACATGGCTCCCTCTCTTTCTAGCATCGGACAGCAAGGAGAAAAAGAACAAAGGACAATAGTCCCACTTCATGGAACACAAACATCCTGTCTCCGTCACTTCCCACTCTGTGGAGTCAAAACATACACCGTCATGTAAAAGACAACAATCCCATGACTGCAATCATGGAGCAGGAATTCTAACAGGGCCACGGCCTGCTTCTCTGGCTGCCGGGCCCTGCAGACCTTGCCTTCATAATGCACGTGTGAATGAGACAACCAGCCTTGGGCTCCGCAGGCGGGCACAAAAGGGGGTTCGGGCACCTAGGACCCAAAATCAGACACCAGGCACGGCGCCTTTTATTGGAAACGGTGTGTACAGACGGGGATGGGGGAACAAAGACTCCCGCGTGTCTCCCCCCATCACAACCCTGTGTCCCCTGATGCTGCTTCGGGTCAAGTCTGGGTCCCTCTAGGTGACGTTTATGGGCGTCAAAGAGCTCCTTCAGGGCCTTGACGTAGAGAGCGTGGAAGCTGTTCACCTCGTCCTCGGTGGGGCGCGGGCGGCGTGGGACTGGGATAGGCTTCCCCACTGCAAGAGGGAGAAGAAGCATGGACGATTGGGGGGTCTGCTCTGCCCCTCGCCCCCCACCCATGGCAGCCAGGGCCTCCCCACCCCAGCAGCTTTGCACCCTGGCCTTGGGTTTCAGGGGTGGCTTAAGTGCAGGAATGGAGGGGACCCCAAGAGTCATCCATCCCAACCCTCTGCAATGCAGGAATCCCTGAATGGTGGCCAACCAACCTCTCTACTTAGTAACCTCCAAGGATGAGGAGAAGGAAGTGTGGGGTGCGCGCGCAATCGCAGCTCCCTCCATAGCAAGCCCCATAAAACGAGCCTGCTCATTTGATTCCTGCAGAGGGGTTGGGCTCGATGACCCTTGGGGGTCCCTTTCAACTCCACAGGTCTCTGATTCAGTTCTAGGAGGGGGCGAAAGCACCACAACCTGCCGCTTTGTATGATGCTGAAGAGTTTATGGCTCTTTGCAAGCAGGTTGGTGAGTTGGGGGGATTTTGGGGTGCAGGGCGAAGGCTAAGGAAGGAACGGGGAGCCTTGTGGGTCCTTACCCACCACCGTGAGGGGGGCAGCCATAGGCAGGATCCCCCAAGAGGTGCTGGAGAAGAGGCCCCTCCCGCTGAAGAGACAAGGGGCGAAGCCGATCAGCTGCTTGAAACCGAGCTGGAGGCGGTGAACGAAGCTGCCCTCGGGGAACCGGATCAGTCGGTAAATGTCATTCTCCCCAAAGGTGTAAACGGGCACCAGGTCAGCCCTGCGAGGAGGAAGAATTTACTTTCTGTTTTGAGAGAGGGAGAGACAGAATGTCGCTGCGCTCTCCGGGGTCGTTGATTTATTTTGGTGCTGTACAATAAATCGCTTCTTAGATTAGAAGGAGCTGCATATGAGGGTTTCCCTGCATGCCTCTGATTCCTACACACACACTTGCTATCTGTTATACTCTGCTGAAGCCAGGAGGAGCAGAGTGGCGCATCGGAAGAGTGCTGGACACCAAAGCACTTCAGCTGTTCGCAGTCTAAACAGACATTCAACAGAAAAAGTTATGGCTCATAACTCACAGGTTATGGAGTCAGCCGCCCAGGTGATTTGGCAGGCTCTTGAGAGGGTCCATCACAGAACCACAGCAGGAGCCAAGATCCATGTCACCAAAAGTTTGTTTGAGCTGAGGCTACATCCGGGGGACAGCATCAGAGAACATGTGACAAAAATGGTGGCTGTGTTATACTGACTGAGACAGTTAAACGTGAATTTTCCAGAAGATTTGAATGTTCACATTCTTCTGAGCTTACTAGACAAGAGTTATGACAATTTGTGCCTAACTCTAGAAGCCATGCCCCCTGCCGACCTAACGTTGCAGTTTGTCTCGGGTCGCCTATGCGATGAGGAGGAACATCGGCAGAGAGAGGGGCACGCTGGCCCAGGCAGTCCTGCTTCCAAGAGTGAGGGGGGGGCAGTGAAAGAGGACACCGTGAAGGCTTTTGCTACGAGACGTTATCGTTGTGGCTTGGAAACCCACCTGCGTAAACAGTCCCAAGGAAGCTGCACAGAATGCCTCCAAGGCCATTGCCCTGGGCAACCAGATTATGGGAACGGCCCGGCGTGGGAATGCAAGGAAAGGTCCCAGGGGAACTGAGAGAGATGCAACGTCACGTCATTTGGCAGTTTCCATAGCAACGGTGAAGGACAGCAACCAGAGCAACGTACAGCGCTGGGTAATTGACAGCAGAACCAGTCATCATCTGCTGCCATCTGGTGGCCAAATGCAGAACTGCAGAGCTGTTTCCAAAGGAAAAACAGTCACGTTTGCCAGTGGATCCAAGAGACAGCTGACAACTGTTGGCTCTGTTTTTGTTCCTTTTTTGCAGGCTGAACTGGAAGCATTTGTGGTCCTAGGGATGAAATGCTGTCTATGGTCTGTGTCTTTAGTTAGAGATGGGTTTAAGGTTTGCTTTGAGAATAATGCATGCTCTGTTTCCAGGGGCGGGACTGGAACACTGAACAACATTCAGTATTGAATGTCAGGCTATTCTGGAAACATCTCAAGCAGGTAAGGGTAACACTGGGTCAGCACAGGCACAGTGCAAATGTTCCCACTCACAATATGTGTCATCATTTGTGGCACAGGAGGATGTCCCACTGCAATTGGGATATGTGAGAAAAATACCAGGGTGCACTGAGGGATGCAAAATGAAGTCATGTGCCAAGTTCCTGGATTGCAGAGCATGCAAGAAGGCAAAGGTAAAAACGAGCAGTTATCCTAGGTCTGACAGGGTAACCAAGAAACCTTTTGAGTTGGTTCATGTAGATATTTGTGGCTCTATGCCTGTTGCAAGTCTGGGCGGGGCTAAATATGTTTTAACCTTGACAGATGATTACTCCAGAAACAGCAGGGCGATACCTCTGAAGGACAAGGGTGAAGCTGCCACCATGCTGAGGGAGTGGGTCACTGCAGTGGAGCTCCAATTCTCACTGAGGGTTTGCAGTTTCCAATCAGATAGCGGTGGGGAGTTCACTACGTTTCAGAATTACTTTCACCAGAAAGGGATACGTCACAGGTTGATGATTCTGCACTCACCATAGGAAAATGGGGTGGCAGAAAGGCAGAACAGAACGCTCCAGGAAGTGGTGGAAGCGTTGCTTTTTGACTCAGGCTTACCACAACGCTTCTGGGCAGAAGCTTGGAAAACGGAGAATTTCACTCTGAATTGTTCCTACAACTCTGTTGTAGGGGGCACACCCTATTTTCTCTTGCATGGTAAGACACCAAAGGTACATTTCTTTCATGTGTTTGGGTGTGAGGCTTTGGTTCTTGTGCCGAAAGCTAATGCAGGAAGGGTGGCCCCAGGTCCCAGAAAATGATCTTTTGTGGGAATGAGCCAGGGACAAAGGGGTGGAGATTCGCTTATCCAGAGGGCAACCAGTCACAGGTTCTCGTCAGCAGGAGTGCTGGGGTTTGTGAGCAAAGTGGGTGGACAGGCATCCATGGGAATCCTGACATTCTCTCAGAGTTTGCTTGACTCTGCTGAAGAGGGAGAGTTAGTAACTGAACCTGCTCAGGATCAGGTCCCTGACCAGGAGCAGGAGAGGAATGGCCATCTCCAGTTCCTACCAGTCCAGCTAAGTTCAGAAGACACAGTCAGTCAGAGGGGGAGTCTTCTGAGGACAAGGACACACGTGCTGGTCCCAGTACCTCAGGGTGAGAGGGGGCATCTGACGTAGTGCCAAGGCGTTCTGAACGCACTACGAAAGGGAAGCCGCCCAAAAGGTTCTCAGTCACTAGCGTGTGGGTTGGTTTGGCTCAATGTGAACCAGAAAGTTTTGAGGAAGTGCAAGAGTTGCCTCAGGCAGAAGCCAGGAAATGGCATGAGGCAATGGAGAACGAGTTGAACTCAATGAAGTCTCCAGGTGTGTTCTCCACCACAACACTGCCAGCAGGTAAACAGGCCATGAGCTGTCATTGGGTTTACAGAATTAAACCCATAGCAACAGGAGCACCACAGTACAAAGCTAGGCTAGTAGCTAGAGGTTTCACACAGAGAAAAGGGCTGCATTACACTGAAGTGTATGCTCCATCTTCTAGGAGTGAAACTGTGCTTGCTACTAGCAGTTGCTGCCCAGAGGGGTTGTCAGGTACATCATTTTGATGTGGATGTTTCTTATTTGAACTCGGATCTGAAGGAGGATCTGTACATGCTACCTCCTCCAGGGTTCAAGGGCAATAAGCCAGATGTACCGTGAAAGTTACACAAATCCATCTATGGCCTCAAGCAATCGGCCAGAAACTGGAATTTGTGTCTGAATGAAACTTTGGAAAGTATGAGTTTCCGGAAGAGTCTTGCAGATAGCTGCCTGTACCTGAAGGGGTATTGGGAGAAAAGCAATAACAAACCTAGACAGCATCTTAAAAAGCAAAGACATCACCTTGCCAACAAAGGTCCGTATAGTTAAAGGTATTATTTTCCCAGTAGTGATGTATGGAAGTGAGAGCTGGACCATAAAGAAGGCTGATCACCGAAGAATGGATGCTTTTGAATTCTGGTGGTGGAGGAGACTCTTGAGAGTCCCATGGACTGCAAGAAGATCCAAACCTCTCCATTCTGAAGGAAATCAGCCCTGAGTGCTCCCTGGAAGGACAGATCCTGAAACTGAGGCTCCAAGACCTTGGCCACCTCATGAGAAGAGAAGACTCCCTAGAAAAGACCCTGATGTTGGGAAAGATTGAGGGCACAAGGAGAAGGGGACGACAGAGGACGATATGTGGGACAGTCTTCCCGAAGCTACCAGCATGAGTCTGACCAAACTGCGGGAGGCAGTGGAAGACAGGAGGGCCTGGCGTGCTCTGGTCCAGGGGGTCACAAAGAGTCGGACACAACTATACGACTAAACAACAACAACAACCTGAAGGGGTCAGGAGAGACAGAGGAGCTAGTGTTGGTGTTTGTTGATGACACCATACATGTGGCTAAGACTGGTAAACAGGTGCAAGGTTTTGCCAATGAACTTGAAAAGCATTTTAAACTCAAGAACCTAGGACCGGTAAAGGTGTACCTAGGCGTACAGGTAGATAGAACCGAGCACGAAAGTTTCTTTCTCAGTCAGAAACGCAAGATTGAGCAGTTGCTTGAGAAGTTCAAGATGGCTGAGTGTGCAGGGGTCAGAACACCCATGGAAACGAGCTATGTGAAAGACAGTCAGCTCGGGGAATGTTCTGAGTTTGAAAACACTGAGATCTTTCAGTCAGCTCTAGGGAGTTTCCCAATGGAGCAGACCAGACATAGCATTTGCTACAAATCTGCTCAGCAGGGAAGCTACAAAGCCAGTGTGACTGCCTGGAATGGCATAAAGAGAGTGCTGTGGTATCTGCAGGATACCAAAGATTTCTGACTCAAACTGTCAGCTGAGGGTGACACACAGCTCACATGCTGCACTGACAGTGATTGGGCAAATCTTGGGGACAGGAAATCAGGGTCTGGGTTGGTAGTGAAGTTTGGAGAATCTCTAGTTGGGTGGAAGTCCCGAAAGCAAAGTCTCATTGTGCTTTCCTCTACAAAAGCTGAATTCAGTGCGTTGTCAGAGCTTTGTAGGGAACTGGAGTTCTATAAGTGTTTAGTCCAAGAGATCTGTGGGGAGTGTTGCTTGCCCATCACCGTTTGGGAAGACAATCAACCCTGTTTGAAGTTGGCAGAGTCTGGACAGTTCAAGTCCAGAACTAAACATTTAGACATACGTTTCCAAAATGTATGTCAGAGTGTCCAGACAGGCTTAGTAAAGCTGAAAACGGAGGGAAAATGTAATAAAAAATTACACAGCAAGGAAGGGCAGGGATCTTCAGTCCTCGCAATTGCTCATTGGGGCAAAATCCGCTGGGAAGCACAGCCATGCTCACGAGGCCCGAGATATTGCTGACCTGCACCCAACACGCCCCCCCGGACCCCCGCTTGCCCCCTTGGTGCCCCTACCCATGTTGCAGCGCCAGGCGCACGAAGCCCTTCCTCCTGTGAAGGTGGATGCGATGCTCTCCGGGGACGGTGTCCAGCATCTCGGACGCGCCCCCCACCACGATGACCACCGCATGCCCGGGGGGGCCACTCAGGAGGAAGTCAAGGGACCTTTTGTTGACCGGGACCATCCCTGGAAGTGGGAGAAAGCAAAGGTGCTTGTGAGTGTGAAACATCTCCAGGGGTTCCCTGCTTTGCAGAGGGTTGGACTAGAGGACCCTCGCGATTCTCCTCCAACTCTGAAATTCTGCGAGTCTATTGAAGGGCAAAGGGGTCGCTGGCAAAGGATCAGCGTGTCTGGAAGTGGTTGGAGGAGAGACGGTGGCTAACCGATTGAGGCTGAATCCTGACAAGACAGAAGTACTGTTTCGGGGGACGGGAGACGGGCGGGTGTGGGGGGACTCCCTGGCCTGAATAGGACAACTGTGCCCCTGAAGGACCAGATGCGCAGCCAGGGAGTCATTTTGGACTCACAACTGTCCATGGAGGCGCAGGTCAATTCTGTGTCCAGGGCAGCTGTCTACCAGCTCCACCTGGTACACAGGATGAGACCCTCCCTGCCCACAGACTGTCTCGCCAGAGTGGCGCATGCTCTGGTTATCTCCCACCAGGACTACTTCAATGTGCTCTATGTGGGTCTACCTTTGAAAGTGACCTGGAAACTACAACTAATGCAAAATGCGGCAGCCAGACTGGTGACTGGGAGACCACATAACACAGGTCCTGAAAGACCTACATTGGTTCCTAGTACGTTTCTGAGCACAATTCAAAGTGTTGGTGCTGACCTTTAAAGCCCTAAACGGCCTCAAAGGCCCAGTAGACCTGAAGGAGCTTCTCCACCCCCATCGTTCAGCCTGGATACTGAGGTCCAGCTCCGAGGGCCTTCTGGCGGTTCCCTCCCTACGAGAAGTGAAGCTACAGGGCAGAGGGCCTTCTCAGTAGTGGTGCCCGCCCTGTGGAACAATCTCCCATCAGATGTCAAAGAGAAAAACAATTACCGTAGATTATGGCGTATTAGGCGACTGGGCAGCTGCCAATTTGGGGGGTTGACTTATAGGCCCAGTCTTATACGGGGCAGCTTTGCTGGGCAGCAACAGTGGGCGGTGGGCTCCACACCACACCAGGAGGAAGCCGCCCAGCAAAGCGAGCTTAGCATTGCTGGGCAGCTTCCTTCCGGCGCAGAGCCTGCCACCCGCTGCCGCTGCGCAGCAAACCCATACCCAGCGTATAAGAGGACCTCTGACTTTTGGGGGAATTTCCCAGGATTAAAAAGTCGTCTTATATGCCAGAATCTACGGTATCTGACTTTTAGGAGACATCTGAAGGGTGCCCTGTTTAGGGAAGTTTTTAATGTTTGGTGTTTTATCGTGTCTTTAATATTCTCTTGGAAGCCACCCAGAGTGGCTGGGAAAACTCAGCCAGATGGGCGGGGTATAAATAATAATTATTATTATCCTCATCACCATCGTCATTTGCACAAACAAACGCCCCTTTTTGCACAGGAGCGAAGAATGGAAGGAAAAACAGACATTCTTGCTGGGGAATTCTATTCCCAGGGGCTCTGGGAGGGCATTCCTGAGAGTGGGGTGGTTTCTCCCATTGGATGGGCCAGGCAGGGTTCTTGAAGATGGTCCTTAAGGGAGGGGCCACCCCACTTCCCACCCCCACCATTCCTCTCTCTGTTGGCCTCACCTGAGCTCATCAGGTACTCCCGGAAGACGGGCATGTGGAAGTGCCCTGCGAGGGTGGCCAGGCTGGGGCGGAGGCCAGGGAAGGCGCGGGGGAAGCCCGTGGCCTCAGTGCAGAAGGCGGAAAAGGCCCCCGTGCAGATCATCCCGTGGGGGTGGGAGCCCAGGATGTAGTTCCGCGTCGGGGGCAGCTCGGCCGTCTTCACCAGCTGCAAGGCAAGAGGGGCGAGTCCTTTGGCACTTGGACCCCCACCTGAATGTCACATTCAGAGGCCAGCAGCCTTTGACGGCCGCCGCCTCCTCCTTGTCCGTGATCTGGTAACCAGGGGTTCCACAGACCCTGGGCATCCTTTGGAGGAAGGCAGACCCTCCGTCGCCCTGCCAGCCCCCTTCTCACACCTGAATGTCACATTCAGAGGCAGAGCCCCGCTTTCCATTGGTGGGCATGCGCAGATTCCATGGCCAGCAGCCTTTGACAGCCACCGCCTTCTCCTTGTCTGTGATCTGGTCTCCAGGGGTTCCACAGACCCTGGGCATCCTTTGGAGGAAGGCAGACCCTCCGTCGCCCTGCCAGCCCCCTTCTCACACCTGAATGTCACATTCAGAGGCAGAGCCCCGCTTTCCATTGGTGGGCATGCGCAGATTCCATGGCCAGCAGCCTTTGACAGACACCACCTCCTCCTTCTCCGTGATCTGGTCTCCAGGGGTTCCGGAGACCCTGCCAGGCCCCTTCTCATACCTTGATGGGGAAATAATCCCGGTGGAGCTCCCAGACTCTCCAGCGCCTCATCCAGTTGCTGCGGCGCCCACCTGCGAAGGCAAGAGTCAGAGAATTGTGGGGTTGGAAGGGGACCCCCAGGGGTCATCCATCCCAACCACCTGCAATGCAGGAATCACAGCTGAGGAATCCCTGGCAGGTGACCACCCAACCTCTGCTTAAAAATTCATTTATTTAGTTATGACTTACTGATGCTTAATTTTACTGTTTATTATTGGATTCCAATGGATTATTGCATATTGCTTTACTTGGTATAAATTATTTTAAAATTATTGTGACTTTTTATTTAGGATCTGATTGTTACTATTAATACTTGATGTTTTATTATTATTGTGTGTGTGTGTGTTGGAAGCAGCCCAGAGTGGCTTGTGCAGCCCAGCCAGATGGGCAGGGTATAAATAAAATTATAATCAATCAATCAATCAATCAATCATGAGGAGCAAGATGCTCCTTGGGGTCCCTTCCAACTCTGATTCCATGTTATATTTTTGTTGGGGGGGGGGTTCTTTTGATTCGTGTCAATTACAGGATTTTGTGTGTGTTTTTATAGCAAAATTTAATAAATAATAATAAATACATAAATAAATGCAGCTGATTTTTCTGCCCTCCATACAGAGAGAGAGTGAGAGAGAGAGAAATGAAATGCCTTCTGCCATTGTGTCATCTATTGGAAGCTGTCTTGGAAAATACCGCATTTTTCGCCCTATAGGATGCACTTTCCCCCCTCCAAAAATGAAGGGGAAATGTGTGTGCGTCCTATGGGGCGAATGCAGGCTTTCGCTGAAGCCTGGAGAGCGAGAGGCATCGGTGCGCACCGACCCCTCTCGCTCTCCAGGCTTCAGGAAGCTATCCGCAAGCCTTGCGAGCCCGGGGGAGTTCCCATGGGCTCACAAGGCTTGCGGGCAGCAGCCTGCAGCCTGAAGCACGGGACGCCCTCCGGAGGACGCCTGGAGAGCCCCAGCGCCAGCCCCACAAGCTCCCGACATGGTTTGGAGGCTGGCGGTGGGGAGAAGAGCGCTTCTCCCCGCTGCCGGCCCCACAAGCGCCTGGGGGGAAATATATATTTTTTCTTTATTCCCCCCCCCCCAGCTCCAGCTGTGTGGGTCTGGGAGTGGGGCTCAGCACCCTTCTCAGACAAGGAGAGGCGCCTTTCACCTGACCTCCAGGTATTGTTGGGGGCAGTGCTGGATTTACTTATAAGCTAAACAAGCTCTAGCTTAGTGCCCCACAAAAATTTAAAGGAGGAAAACCTGGATGTACATTTCCGAAATATAAGATAAAAAACAAATACAATAAAACCTACAGTGTTTTGTGTTGTGTAGGCTCCTGTGATGTAAGTCATGGGCCCCACCTGCTAGCCTGTTCCCTTAATTGTCCCTGGTTTGCTCATTTCTATATATAGGGTACCTACGATCTGCATCTGGGACGCGGGTTGCGCTGGGGGTTAAACCACAGAGCCTAGGACTTGCCAATCAGAAGGTCGGCGGTTCGAATCCCTGTGACGGGGTGAGCTCCCGTTGCCCTTTACCTTACGATCTGCATGGACTGCTTGCATGGCTTTAGATACTTATTAGGTCCATCAATTACCTTATAGCATATATTCAACACAAAAAACAGCAACAATTTGTTGTGGACAAAGGACAGCTGGACATATAAAGGGTCCCATCACCTTCAGTGCTTAGGGCCTCATCAAACCCCAATCCGGCCCTGGTTGGGGGGAATCGAACTCACCTCTCTGTGGCGTATCCCAGTCGAAGATCCACCAGGCAAAATACAGGACGCTGATAGGCCAGTAGGAGGTGAAGAGCAGGTAGACCAGGAGAATGGAGAAGAAGGGACCTGGGGGGGGGAAGGGGATTCTGTGGAATCTTGTTTTTATGTTGTATGCTGGATATGTGATTGCAAAATTCTGATTTGAAAAACCAAATAAATTAATTTTAAAAAAATATGAAACCAATATCACAATGTGGACTTCAAACTGGTTGTTTATGATATATCGATATATCGCCCAACTCTACCCACAAGCAGCGCTGGGATTCAGAGGCCCTGCCTTGGACCACAACCCCAATTTCACGATACCCTCGAGGATGTGATCTGAAGCCCCCCTAAACCCAGAAGAACATGTTAGGTTGGAAGGGGCACCCCAGGGCCATCTAGCCCAACCCCCTGAGGTGCTGACTCCCTAGTCCAGACTCACCTGGCCCAAAGCTGCTTTGAATAGAAGAGGGGGTTTGGCTTTTGGGGGAGGGGGGTGAAATAAAAAAATTTAAGGTCTTTTATATATATAATAAATGTTCATAAATGTACCAAGTAAACATGTACATAAATATATAAACCACATGTCTGAAGCAGCACAGGAAAACAGCCCGGAAACCATTTTGACCCCCAAACTGACCAAACAATTTCTCTGCAAGGTCGAAGGAAAATGGAAAAGCCTCCCCATTGTCTTTTCCTTCACAAATCCTGTCTGAAGGGTATGTCTGTGTATGAATAGGGTGAGCCTGTGACCTGGCTCAGGAACTAAGTATTTATCATTACAAAAGACTGGCCAGGCTCCCCAGGGTATCCAATCAAGTGAGCATTAACAGGTGACCTGCCAGACAGGAGATAAACAACGCACTCAGATTTCTGTTGTAGACCGCCCTTTCTGTGATGTAGGTGTGATGTTTCTGGGGGGTGGTCTTGAGCTACATCCCTTCTGTGATGTAGGTATGATGTGTCTGGGGGTGGTCTTGGGCTCCAGGGCTGGCAATTTAAAATGTCTATATGAGGGTGGGCACACCTTTGTTCAGGGTCCTCCTCCTCCTCCTACGTGTGGGGAGTGAGGACCCTGTTGCAAGAGTTCAATAAAGATCAGGCTTACTAGCTGCTTTGCTTCTCAATATTCTCTGCTTGGCCTCTGTTCTTTTCTCCGACTGATGGAGAACCTACAAAGGACTCTAGAAGGGCTCTTGTGTCCCCCATAATGGGAAAAGGGCAGTTTTCCTTTTATTACAGGGGCCTGGCCTGCCAGAGGACCTCCCAAAGGCCATGGCCCCAGGAAGAGGAAGAGGCCAAGCTGCCCCTCTTCCCTGAGCATCCCCTGCCCCTCCCTCCCTCCCACCCCAGCTCCCAACTTACCAAAGAAGAAGAAGATGAGGACCCACTGGAGGACACTAAGGGCCTCCAGGTGTTTCTTCAGAGCCATCTTCTGACCCTGGGTCAGGATCCTGGGGGGGAGGAAAACCACAGGGGGGGTTGTGGGGGGGGATCTGCAGCAGGACTCCAGCCAGGAGGGGGCCCTGCCTTGGCAGAAGGGAGAAGACACAGGTGTGTTCAGCACAGGTGGCCTCTGACCTGCATCCCAAAGCCCACCTGCTCCCCTTCAGCCGTGCCCTCAGGAAGGGGGCAGCATGTGGGGCAGGAGGAGGAGGAGGAGGAAAGAGGCTCACTTGTCCAGGAGAGGATGTTGTCTTGCCCGCAGCTGCAATGCACAAGTCTCTCTCTGCCGCCTGCACTTTGGTAGCCAGGTGAGTTGGCAATAAGGATGCTGCTGTCACCCAGGTGAGGCAAAGGGGACCTGGCTGAGCTCTCCTCCTCCGAAAGGAGACAAGGTGTGTCATTTCATTCCTGACCTTAAAAAGGTCAAGCCCTGTGGCTCCCAAACTGGGCGTGCCCAGAGGACCTTCAGATTCATTTCTTTTGACTCCCAGCCCTGCCTGGCACCTGCCTTGCTGGCCCTTGGCTCCCTCCCCTTGGCCCTCATTCCAGGGCCGCCCTGCGCTCTTGGCCCACGAGACGAAGGTTTGGGTGCCAGGATCGATTGCCCCATCTGCCCGCCTCCCTTCTCCAAACCACGAAGAATGGAGGAAGCTGCTCTCGAGGAGATAATCATCATCATCATCATCATCATCATCAAATTGTATTTATATCCCGCCCCCCCCAGCCAAAGCCGGGCTCAGAGCAGCATAAAATGCAATAAAAAGCAGGGAAGAACCGTTTTCAAAACAACAGATGCGTTTCAAAAACAGTGGGACTTACGGTAGAACCATAAAGCGGTATAGTTGGAAGGGACCCCCAGGGGTCATCCAGCCCAACCCCTTGCAAGGCAGGAATCGCAGCTTTGGCGGCACTGTAGCTCTGGGGAAGAAAGAGTGCCTCTGAGCAGGTGAAGAGTGCTCTGAGGATCCGCAGTTGCAGCTGCCTCCCTTTCAAAGGAATCAAGCGCAGCTCCTCCTGATGGCCTTTAGGTGCCCCTGGAAGAAAGACAGGGTGAGAAATCACTGGGATTTCTGAAGCACCCTGTGGGTGGGGGTGTTGGGTGCAGTTCAAAGGTTGCCCCCTCCTCCTCCTCCTGCCAGGCAGGGCAGTGAGGTCCAAGCTGACCTGAGCCTGGCGGGGGCAGAGGTAGAAATTACGCAAACCTTTTCCTGGCAAGGACATTGCTTCCTGCCTCAGGGCAGGGCAGCCTCTCTACAAATTAGCATTTATATATCCCAATACTTTCCTCCAGAAATCTGTAAGCATCAGACATTGCATAAGCATAGGCTTCAAAGAGGCGTATTCTCGTTTTGACACCTCCAGCAACACGTCCTTGTAGATCATACTGATGTATCGGAGCCCAATATTATTTTTGGTTGTGTAAGACGTAGTTTATAATCTAATGGCACATTAGGAAGGTAAAACACTGGTTTACAAATATATATATATATATATATCAAAAAATCAAAACAATCCAATGAAAACATGAACACCCACAATTAAAATCCACAAATAAACATCAGGTGCCTGGAGGGCCTTCGGAATTCTGGGACTGTCCCTGGAAAATCAAGACACTTGGAGGGTATGGCAGGAAACTCTTAATCTCAAGGTCGCGGGTTCGAGCCCAAGCTGGGCCAAAGGCTCCTCTTTTTCATTTTTTCATTTTCAATTTTACAAAGAATCAAAATTCAAACATCATATTTCCTTTGACTCCCCCGCCCCCCTTTATGGACCCTTAGGTTACAATTCTTGTTCTGCATCTCCTCCCAGACTCCAGTTATTATAAGTCCTTACTCCAATCCATGATTTGAATTTTTAATAATAATAATAATAATAATAATAATAATAATAATAAATTTTATTTATATCCCGCCCTCCCCAGCCGAAGCTGGGCTCAGGGCGGCTAACAACAATCAAAATAAGCCGACATTCTAAAACATTCATTATAAAATTAATTAAATCAAATTAAAATCAAATTAATGGCAACCATCAAGCCAAATTCTGTGCAGATTGCCGATTGCCAGAGGAGGGGCACTACACGTTTTCTGTCAAACCTTCAAGGGATTGTAGTTGTTTACAATAATTCTTTTCAAATGCATTTTAAACTCTCCCCATTCTTTATTGCTTCCTGGCTCCCGATTCTTCCGACGAATCCTGCATTGCGGGGGGGGGGGGTTGGACTAGATGACCCCCCGAGTTCCCTTCCAGCTCTACAATCCTATCAGTGTTCATAAGTTGCCCATATATAAAATAATAGAATAGCAGAGCTGGAAGGGGAGGGTCATTAGTCTACCCCCCCCCCCGTGCAATGCAGGGATATTTGGCCCAGCGTTGGGGCCTGAACCCATAACCCAGGAATGGGGGGAGGTGGTGGCTGGGGTGGGGGAGAGAGAGGAAAGAGACACCCCAGCCGGAAGAGCAGGGTTTTTAGGGAAGGGGGGAAGGAGAGGGGGAAGACTGATTTCCACCCTACCGTATTTTTCGCTCCATAAGACGCACTTTTTTCTTCCTAAAAAGCAAGGGAATGTCTGTGCGTCTTATGGAGCGAAATGTGTGGTCCTGAGCCGAATTGCCCAGGGGAGAAAAGCAGATCATGCTTCTTTTTGAAAGAGGGAAGGGGGCTGTTGAAACAAAGCCGCTGATCGGCAAGCTATCGGGAGCGAGATAAGGGAGCTAGAGTAAAGGAGGCTGCCTGGAGGGGAAGGTAAAAGCCCATGGATCCTTCAGGATTTTTGCATTGGGTCACCCCAAATTCACCACCAGATCACATAGCATGTCCATGACTACAGCCTGCACCAAAAAAATTCACGCACCCACTGTTTGTGGGGCCGCAATGCGGCAAAAACGTGGTTACAAAGCACAGATCCACATGGATCCTCAGGATTTTGCATTGGGGTGTAGCCCTTTCAGGCTTTCCCACGGTCGGGTGGTGCATTGCTCCTGTCAGCGAGCCCAAGAAAGTGCGAGAGAAGGCTGATCACTGGATCGCTGCTGGCGGGCTAGGTCATCATTTCCAGAGAAGAGGAGAAAGCTTTGTTCCTTTCAGCTACTTTGTGTTATGCTTTGTGTTATACAGCAGAGCTAGTGCATTTTAGGGTTTGCATCTCAAAGAAGAATTGGGAAGTCTTGAGGCCTAGTTTGGGGTGACCACACACTAATTGGGGTGACCACACAGTCAGGATTTGGGTATCCTCCGTCCTGTCATCCCCCCCTTTTATTTTGGACAGCCTTCCGTCCCCAAGGGCCACTGGCTGATATTCTCGGGTAGTGGCTATAATCTGGGGCCGAACCATTCGTGACACCATTTTATGCATCATATTTTGCAAGCATTGCAAGAAGCAAGGTACACTGGAGCAGAAAAGAAGCAAAATTATCAATGGGCCTAGTAACATCATTAAAAGTCCTCTAGGTTTGGAAGTCAATCAATCCACCAGGACATGTCCCATCAGTTCCAAGTAGGGACAGGGACATGAGCCACTTTTTCAATTTCTGCTGCCAAATTTCGAATAGCTTCAGCACGGTCAGAGATGTTAAAGCAACAGGCCCCTCCTGTCAAATTTAACGCAACACAAAATCCGCCCTGTCGCGCCAGGAGAAAGTCCAGCCCTAAGCGGAGCTGAAGGACTGGGTGGCGATTAACCGGAGGGCTGTGGCTGTGGCGACCATCTCTACTACCGCTTGGAGTCTTATTATGCGGTTTAAATTATAAATTGGCCCCCTTGCCCCTGTGATTTTTTTCTCCCCGGTTCCTTGAGATCGGATCGTAATGGGCCACTATCCTTTCTGGAGGCCACGATCCTTGCCCCAATTTTGGGAGCTGCCTCCTGCAACTGCTACTAGGTCAACCGAGCGTCTCCTCCGACGGGGTGCAGTGGCAATCGGCTCATAAATCCACATGGGAGGAATTAAAGAGTCTGGGAAGCACACTCCATACCATCCCTTTGGCAGGATATGACAAGCCAGCTTTCCACACACCCAATACACATCATGTTCTTGAGCAGAGACACCACCTCCCCCTTCTGAAGCCCTTGCCAAGTGCGTCAGGCACGTAGTTAGATTACAGCCAGAAAGAGTTCCTAGTGCGGACTCAGTCACGGTTGTCTGGGCTGGGAAGGTGCGATTACAACAGGAGGTCCCCACATACGTCAGATTGCTACTGGCGCCCTCAGACTGGTTCACACAGAGCCATTCAGTAATTCGGTGAAAAGGGATAGAATGGTTCCATAAAAAAGAATTGTTTCCAGAGGGCGGAAGCCAAAAATTGAGGCCATAACTGAGGACTAATTCCGAGGCACAGGGAGGAGGGCATTCCTCCCAAAGCATCTGTAGGTCCCAGAGTGCAGACCGTGCAATTGGTTCGGTTTGCAGAATAAGCCCATTTCAGCCATTTATTATTCGTGTTGTCCAAGAGGAAGGGGTATTTGTCAGTGGGTTTTATGATTCCTTGCAGTCGTTCAGTTACATCTTGGATCTTAGACCCGGGGAGACAGCACACTTCCCGAGACATCTTGTCAGGCCCACAGATCACTGCTTCCTTCCCTCAGTAGGGAATCCCCTATCACCACTACACGCCTCCTCTTAGGTCTGGTCGGGGTTCTTCCGTGAGCTGTCCGTTCCAAGGTCGCCTGCACATTCCCTGAGGACTGCTCGTCTTCATGTACCTGATCAACTGTAATGCGGGAGAGATCCTCAAATGGAGTCTGTTCTTTGTCTTCCATGCTAGGGAGAGGACCTCAAAGCGATTGTGTATTTCTAAACAATCAGAGCGAACCCTGGGCCTCCTACTTCTTTGAGTCACGTTTCTCCATATATCTGGCACCTGTGTTGGTGAACCAGCCTCCTTCTCAGGGGAGTCCCCTGTCTCCTCCTTGGTGGAGACGGTTGCTCTGTTGCTTCCAAGAAAGCTCCAGCTCTCTAATTCTTTGGAGCGTAGCTACACGTTCCTCCAGTTGCTGGACTTTGTCTTCTAAGAGGGCAATCAACATACAATTGCTGCAGGTAAAGCTGCCTGCAACCTTTGGCAAGATGGCAAACATTGCGCAGGAACCGCAGGCGACTGCAGCTGTTCCCTCACCCTCCATCTTGAAAACGTGCCATTGGGGGTGGCTACAGTGTCCTCCATCTTAAAAAGCGTAAGACAGGACAAATAACGCCCCTAAAAAACCAATAACCTAGGTCTCCCCCAACAAACGTTTGAGACTAGCTCCCCTAAATCTGAAAGGGCGCACCGCTGCCCACAAGCTCTGATAAGCTCCTCCCACAGCTCATCACCTGCCTCAACAGAAGCCCTGCCCCCTCTGACCTTTGCACAGGGAGAGCAGCTAATCAGCCACAAGAAACACACACAAGAAAACCCTTTGTTTCCTTCTTCAGCCCCCAGTGTCTACCAGCAGCCCCACAGGCCCAGCTGAGTCATTGGAGGAACCTATGCAGCTTGGGGCAGTGCGGCCACGCCTCTCCCCCGCAGAGAAGTTGCGGGCTCGGGAGGGGAATCTATGTCTCTATTGTGGCGGAAGCGGACACTATGCACGGTCCTGTCCTGAGAAAACGTCAGCCGCAGGGAAACCGCAACCCCAGTAGCTGATGGTCCTGGCTACCTGGGGTCCCAAACAGCACAGAATGGGCCGCACCAATTGAATTACAACACCTTATGGTTCCGGTACATCTATACCCTCCAGGAGGGCCATGGATTCTTACCCGCTCTGGTGGATTCGGGGGCAACCCGCTCTTATATGGACGCTGCTTTTGCTGCCCAGCATCGGGTGCCACTTCGGAACAAGCCAGAACCGGT